TTTATCTTTTTTGCACTTAATTTCTTCATCCAAAAGCCTTCCAAATGCATCAACAAAATTCTAAAAATGCATTTAATTAAATATTAAACCAAAATAACACAAATTAGCCCAAAAGTATCAAATTAAAGCCAAGAATGCAAACTTAAAGCAAAATACACATTTTCCTAATTTAGGCAATAAAAATATATACAAATGAGCCAAAATGGATTAGAATCTTAAGAAAATGTGATAAAATAACATTAAATTCTAAAGGTTAATAGTAAATAACTAAACACAGCTTATGCCATGAAAACAAACGTGGACACACAGTCCACGAGGGTAAGTAATCAAATGTGGCTCATGGCCATGGAATCAAACCCGAGTATAAAGCCCATGAATAACAAACGTGAGAACAAAGCCTACAAGACAAACTAGCTAGTTTTTAACCATAGCACTATAGGCTAATGAAATTGCCATTAGCAACAGTGTTCTGTTTAGAGTCCCCTGAAAAATCACACTTCAAACACATGAGAAAAATAATCACTTCTGAAGTACAATTTATATTTTCAATACCCAACTTGCATGAATCATTTCAAATTTTAATTTAGTACTTGACAAAAATAATATTTCATAGATAATGTACAAGCTTGCATTAGTTGAATAACCAAGAATTTCCAAAGTTTAATAAATAAAATAATTTCATAAATCTTTGAAATATATTTTTTGACGAAATAAATGCATGTATCACCATTTAATTGTCCATCATCAATATTCCATAATTTCCAAAACTAACAGTAATTCATAAGAGTAAAATAGTTAGTAAAAATCTATTGAAAATAATATAAATTAAAGGGAATGCTATTAACTTACATGCCAAAGCTCCGAATTTCCAAAATATTCTGTCTTCAATTTCTACCAGAATTCTCTTCTTTCACACACCCTATTCAGATATAAAAAATGAAGTTTCAATAGATTTTCAATCTTTAACACAATTCCAAATTTATGATTTCAAATTAGTCCATGCATTACCCCTAAAATCACTAATTTCCTTCATATACCTTTAGCCATGCCACTCTATTTACTTAAGGTAAAACTTTCTCTTAGGCTTTGCACTAATTACTTTAGGTGCATAATTCTAACCATTCAATTGAAATATTCAGCAATTTACCATTAACCATACAAATTCCAAGAACAAATGAAACTTCAAAATATTTAAAGATCAAATTTAATTCTTCTAACAAGCATTTTGGCAAACATCTTACAAATTTCATGCCTAAGCTCTTATCTTTTAACTTCATGCTAATCAAATTCTCAAGATCAACTAGTCTAACAATAAATTTAACTGAGCCTTAAACATATGCATACATATATCTTTACCAAATTTTAAATGGATTTCAAGCTCATTTAACTTTATTTATTTATTATATACATATATATATATATATATTTCATTACACCATATAGTAGTAGTAGAACCAGAACAAAAAAAAATTGTATCTCACGTACAACCACAACAGAACATCACCCTCACAACAGAACCTACAATGAAAAGGTTTGAATCTCCTCACCTTAATCCAGTGAAATGCAACAGAAAAGGGAGCACAATGAAGTAGCCCCTGTGTTGCCAAACTGAGAGAAGAAAGGAAAGAAAACCTACAGCACCAACAGAGGAAATATGAATGTCCATCTTGGAAGAACAAAATAGAAGGAGATAAAGAATACCGATGGCAAATGGAGAAGAGAAGCTCACGCTCAAGTAACCACAAGACTCTCCACCGCAGAAACAAAGAGGAAGAAGATGAAACAAGCCACTGAACAGGGAGGGGAAAACCCAAATACAGCACGCCAGCAAGAAGAAAACCGTATCAATAGCAATGGACTAAACTCGCAACAGCACCACCAGCAACAACTCAAGCACGATGGCACAAATAGAGACGGAGCAGAAGACAAAGAGGAAAAACAAAAACAAGGAACACGGAGGAACAAACCAGAACAACTACAGTTTGAACCTCACCAACCACCACTAGAAACACGAAGGGGAGATGAGTTGGTGATCACTAGAATGGGAAAAGGGTTGGAGATGCAGAGAAAATGTTGAGTTGGTCAGCTTCTCTTACTCTCTCTCTCTCTCAATTTTTTTTGGAATGGTCGAAGAAGAGAAGGAAACTTTTATCAGATTTGGAAAGAGGTAATTTTGTAATTTTATAAACAAAGAGCGGAAAAATTTCCTGGTCTTCTTCGAACACGTGACCTAATGAGAGAATACATATTCTGCCGCCACTACTTTAGCTTTCTTTCTTGTCATATTTATCCTAAGAGTTAATATAATTACCATGAAAACATAAACTTGTATATATAATTTTTACTTAAAATTCCAGGGTTACCACAATAACAACTTGAGATTTTCCGAGCATTAAACCCTTAATTTGATCAATTTAAGCAACTCTCAATTGGCATTTTAATAATCATCAACTCTAGTCAACAATCAATAATATAATTTATGATAATGGGGTTCAAAATTTATCCCAGCAAACAAATTAAAAAAGAAAAAAATAGTTAAAAAGGACATAAAAATAGAAAAAAAATAATTTTTCTGAAGCTAAAAAATAATTAAGTAAAAAAAATAAAAAAATTGAAGGAAAAAAAGGGTGAATGGCAAGGTGAGCTGATGGGCAACACTAGCTAGAGGCAATGACAGCTAAGGGCTGTGGGTGAGGCAACGGTAGCTGGGGGCAATGCTTTAGTGGCGACGGCAGCTGTGAGCGAAGGCAATTGGGGGACATGGGCAACGAGCTATGGGAGTGAAAGAAGAAGAAATGTGAGCTAAGGGAGCAATGGTGCTGAGGGATAGAGTCGTCAATTAGGGTCAAGCCCATCAGGCTAGCCCTTCTAAGCTCGAAAAAATATAGGATTAGGCTGCTATTTTAGAGTGCAAAATGATAATTTGGGCTTTCCCTTTTTAAGCCCTAAAATAAAAGGGCCGACCCTTTTATAATTTTTTTAAATTTTAATATTAAAAAAAAATAAATATTATGCTAATTTAAAACCATAACCTCATTTCACTTGGATGAAGAAGGATTATAAAAAAAGTTTAATATCTTTGTCACTATTAAGGCTCCATAAAGAGAAGGATAGAATTCTGTTGATATTGATGATAATAAAAATCAGCAAGATTTTGCTAATAATGCTAAAAAAGTCTTATTATTATTGGTGTTGATTTTGTAATAGTGTTGTTTTTTTATTAGACTTAAATTTATTATTATGTGTATTGACTTAAATTTATTTTTGTAAATTAAATGTTACGTGTAATAACTTTTTTTAAATTTTAAATATGTTTTTTTAATTTTTAAATTAAAAAAATATAAGGTCGAGGCCTTGAAGGCCAAGGCCAGGCTAGCCAAACTGAAACCCTAAGGTGTAATCGAACTTTATAGGGCCAACCCATTTAGGCCCTGGCCCTTCAAGAGCTAACCCTAACTGACACCTCTACTGAGGGATATAGGGTATGGGAAGAGCTAAGGACTAAAGAAGCTAAGGGAGAAAGCCATAAGTGAGAGGAGGGAGCATCTTTGTAGAGCTAAGGGATTTAAAAAGCTGAAATAAGCTTGTCTTTAGTGACAGGCTTGAGGGCACCTATCGCTAAAGATTGTCTGAATTTCAGACAATTAATTTGTCTAAAATTCAGACATGTTTTTAGTGACAGGCGCAAAAAGCTGTCTCAATTCAGTCATTTGAATTTTAAAGTTCAAAATTTCTAAACTCAAACATAAATAAATAAACAAAATAAAATTTATAAAATTATTTTTAAATTATTTTTTTGTTAAGATTTATTTTAATTTGTCTTTTAATCTTTTATTTTTGTCTCAATTTAAAAATAATTAATATGTCTAATTTTAGGCACAATTAAATTTTAATTATTGAAAATATATTAATTATTCAATACATAAATTGTCTTTTATTTTACTAAATTTATAATCAAATTTTAATAATTTATTAAATAAAATTAATTTAATAATTTTTAATTTAGACACAATTAATTTTTCTTAAATATTACATTATTAATTTAGTATATAACAAATAATTTATATTAATTATGACTATTTTCTAAATTAATTTCATTTAGGTAATAAACATTTAAGAAATAATTTATTTTAATTAATTAATTAAATTATTTAATTTTATTTAATATTTCTCATAATTAATAAAATGTCTAAAATTCAGACTACCTTTGGTGATAAGCCCAAGGTTGCCTATCGCCAAAGATTGTTTGAATTTTAGACATTTTGAGTTTCTCAAAATGTCATAAATTCAGACATGTCTTTAGTGACAGGCACCTTCATGCCTGTCGCAAAAGCTATCTGAATTCAAACATGAACGAATAAATTAAAAAAATTATAAAATTATATTTTTTAGAAGTAAAACTTTTTATGAGGTTTATTTTAATTTTTTTGTATTTAAAAATATTAATATGTCTGATTTTAAGCATAATTAAATTTTAATTATTAAAAATATATTAATTATTCAACACTTAAATTTTATTTTATTTTATTAATTAGTAATCAAATTTTTAATAATTTATTAAATAAAATTAATTTAATTTTTTTAATTTAGACACAATTAATTCATCTTAAGTATTAGTTTATTAATAAAAAATAATTAAGAATATAATAAATAATTGATTTTAATTATAATTATTTTGTGAATTAATTACATTTATGTAAAAATATTTAAGTAATAATTTATTTTAATTAATTAATTAAATTATTTAATTTAATTTATTGTTTTTCATAAGCATTTATGGTGACAGGCTATCTTAAAACTATCACCATAAATGATTTACTTTTTAATTTAATTATCAATAAGCTACTTGCTCAAATATTACCACAGTTTTTTTACAAATTGTGGCAAAAAATATATTGTTAAAATTCTATTTTGCACTAGTGATTACAAAATATCCTACATTATAAACTAAAGGGAGTGCGTGCGTGTGTATGTTGACTGATTAATGTCATGCTGAACAGGAGAGATAGTTGGAGCAAACAAGTTAGGCGGCCTAGTTACTTACACTTACAGGGATTTGAAGTTTGCAACCAATGATTTTGATGAAAAAAATAAACTTGGACAAGGAGGGTTTGGTGTTGTATACAAGGTAATAAAATTTATTTCTATTTTCAGCATATTTATATATTCAAAAAATACATTCATAATTGAAATTCTTAATAATCATGAATAGGGCACTCTTAAAAATGGGAAAGTAGTTGCAATCAAGAAATTAACTTTTCACCAATTCACAAAGATGGAGGAAGATTTTGAAAGTGAAGTGAAGCTGATAAGTAATGTTCATCATCTAAATCTTGTTCGACTTTTAGGATGTTGTAATGAAGGGCAGAACAAACTTCTTGTTTATGAATACATGAAAAACAACAGTCTTGACAAATTCTTATTTGGTAAGCTTCAATCTTTAGACTGTCTCTATCTCGGTCACTAAGTAGTAGTTATTATAATATTCATAACATCATGGCGTAGATGGTTTTTTTTTTTTTTTGGAAATCACAATCAAGGACTCCTTGAGACAATTAATTACACTACAGGACCAAAGGATTCTGATATTACTTTACAGGATCAAAGGACCTAAATATAATTTAATTTTTTTGTGAAAAAACAAAAATATCCTTGATATATTTTTGTTGTGATGGGAGAATTGATTGTTGTTAAAGTGGGAGTGAGATTTGTTTTTTCTCGAATGAAAACTTGGTCACTAGATTATAAAAATTCTTCTACCACATTAACATTTGTAGTTGTTAATGAAGGAATTGATTGTTGTTAGAATGAAAATGAGACTTTTTTTTTTCTCGAATAGGGACTTGTTTACTGAATCACAACATTTGTTCTTCTCTACTACCAAGTTAATTTTTTAGAGTTGTTAATAATGTAATTGGTTGTTGTTAGAATGGAAATGAAACTCAATTTTTTTTGAATAGGGACTTATTCACCAAATCATAACACTTATTCTTCTTCACCAACAAGTTAATTTTTTAGAGTTGTTAATAAGGGAATTGATTGTTGTTAAATATAAATAGGACTTTTTTTTCTTCCCAATGGAGAGTTGTTGTTAAAAGAGTATATAATATACAAATGAAAGGTATTTTTGTCTTTTCACAATATAAGTAGTGTACTTGATTGTGATTTTTTCATTTCATTTTTTAACTTAACGACATACGATTGACACCTCCACTAAAAAAAAAATATGAACGTCATAATCTTATTGAAGAATTTGTAGTAAACTTCTTTATCAATTTTCTATAAATGAAACACCTTGAGGATGACTTTCATGTACGTCCCTACATTTTAATCATACCCTTGAAATTGTGTAAACTTGGAAAGTAGGTGAAAAGAAAGGTTCTCTTAATTGGAGACAACGATATGTTATAATTTTAGGAATGGCAAGAGGTTTGGCTTATCTACATGAGGAGCTTCATGTTCGTATCATACATAGAGATATAAAGACTCATAACATCCTCTTAGATGATGATCTACAACCTAGAATTGCTGATTTTGGGTTGGCAAGGCTTTTGCCTAAGAACAAATCTCATCTTAGCACAAAATTTACAGGAACATTGTAAGTATGATGTATTTGTTTTATTTTCTGAACTTCTAATATATGGTGCATGAATTATATTATTGAAGAAATTGTTAAAATCTATGTATGAAACAATGGAACACTCACATTACACCTCTAATCAGTTTTGGCATTTTATCCCCTTTAGCCTTTACATACCGTGAATACCTCGAGAAAGAAATTGTATTGATCTGGGACATGATGCAAACCTTTTTGTTGCTTACCCCTATTTCATACTTTTGTGCTTTACTAATATTGAAAAAAAATTGCTCGAATGAATAGCGATGGATTTGTTTCTTAATATTTATGTGATTATGATTGAGACAATTGCTCCAACAATTACAATTAAAATAATATTGTGCATTTGACAGGGGATATACAGCACCTGAGTACATAATTTATGGTCAATTATCAGAGAAGGCTGATATCTATAGTTATGGTGTTGTAGTCTTGGAAATCATCAGTGGTCAACGAAGCAAGGAATTAACCATCAAAGATGATGTTGAGGGTGAATTCCTCCTCCAAAAAGTGAGAAAATTTTTAGGGATTTTTGAAAGGGCCATTTTTATATAATTTAGATTCAAGACTTCTTTGAAAACTTAATTGAACTCTTTTAGTAAATCCCGCCAGTACTTTATTACAGAATCCAAAAATAAATATTTAAGAAAACATTATCCTAGGTTTTGCTCTACCTATTATATATAAGCCTTCTCATTCCATTTCTCTTTAATTGTCAAATTGTTAGGCTTGGAAATTATACGAGAGAGGCATGCACCTAGAGTTGGTGGATAATACCTTGGACCCTAATGAGTATGACACAGAAGAAGTGAAGAAAATCATAGAGATTGGTTTGCTTTGCACTCAAGCATCTACTGAAAGAAGACCAATGATGTCTGAAGTAGTTGCTTTGCTCAATTACAAGGATTTTTTAGAGAATATGAAGCCCACTATGCCTATCTTGATTGAAACTAATTAAAGGTATATGGGAATATAATACACTTCTACTTATGATGCTTCTACATCCAATGCTACTGCCTAGATTGTTCAATGATGTCACCAGCTGAGGGTCGATTCAAATAAGGAAGGTGGAAGTGGACAACTAGAAGTATGAGGATTATTTTAAGAATAAAAGGGGTGGTGATGGATGGCAATAACTATTCATAGCCCCACCCCTGTGAATCCTTGTTAACATTATTTGATAATCATCATCATCATTCCCGGTGTCGAATGTCTACCAAACACATGCTTTTATAGTTACGAGATATAAATTATCATTAATTATCCTAATAGAGCTGCAATGGGATATTGAATCAAACGAGTCATAAAATGAAGAGAGTGATGAGTGCAATATAGTGCGTTACTCGTGTTGATGAATAGTGACTTCATCACATAAATTATAAAGATATGTGTTTGTTAACCCCTATAATGATTCTAATATATTTTGGCTCTGTTGTATATATTTTTCTTGTCTAAATTAGGAAAATGGGCATCTTATATAGAGTTTGTACACTTAGCTTTATTTTGTCACTTTTGAGTTAAAGTAGTGTTATTTTGGTGTAAAGTTAAAATGGAAGCATTCTGGACCTTTAGTGATGCTTTTGAGAGGCTTTTAAATGAAGAAATCAAGTGCAAAGATGATAAATTTAGTTAATTGAAAGAAGTGTGAAAAACTGGCCAAAGTCGTAACCAAAGTTGCAACTTTGTTTGTGACTTTCGCTTCTGTCAGCAAAATGTACCATCTTATTTATCTAAAACTATTTGGGTAGGATACATATATGCTGCTTGCTCGACCCAAAATGAATGATTCACACTTTAAGACACATTGGAGCTTGGTTGTAATAGGGTTTGGGCATTGGAAGAGTTGGAATCAAGAGATTAAAGTTTTCAAGATATTTAGAGCTCGTTTTCTTTTGTTTTTCTATTCCTCTTCCCTTCCTCCCTTATAATCTGAAATGAGTCTGAATTTTTTGTGTATTTATAGCTTGTGGATGATTATGAGTAGTTAAACTCTTTACTCTAGGATTATTTGAAACCCTTGTATGGATTAACATTAATTTTCTCCCTTTTTTGTGATTAATGATGTGTGTGTTTATTTTAGTACTCTTATCTTAATGCTTCTAAGTGTTTGGCCACCATTTAGATACTAGGTTCATTTGATTGATACTTGAGAGGGCTAGGTAAAGTATAAAATTTGGATAAAATAGTGCAAGAACTTGAAGTTTGGAAAATTAATGGATGGTTTTGCTACTTGCTAGCTAGCCTTGCATAGCCACATTAAGATTGTGCTTGAAATTGGATTTTATTAATTGTAATAAGAGATTGAGAAATTAATTTAGTTAAACATTTGTTCATGACTTGAGAGAGCTTGTTTAAGTGTTTTTAGAATCTTATGTTAACACTTATCATCATTAAAAGCATTTATGAGAAGAGGTAATTTTAATGTTATGAGATGCAAGGGGGATAAATAATCCTAAATCCAAATTTGTGCTTGAAGTTTGTGAATAATTTGTTTTTCCCTATTTTCAACTTTTAATTTAATTCGCAAAATCAAATTTACCTAATTATGTTTTGCTCAACTTAATTGAATTTATTAACCTTTGTTTGATCACTATTTTTACTCACTTCTATTACTTCTCACGACCTGTGCACTTATGAAGAGCGCAATAGTGTTCAATAGGAATTTTAAAGAAAACGAAGCAAAAGCAAGTCCATTCACCAACCATGCTATTTTCTACCCTCATTGGGAGCTTAAAAAAATATAAATAAAAACTATATCATTTTTAGATTAAAGAACATATATAAGACAGAACAGAGAGAGAGAGAGAGAGAGAGAAAGGGAGAGAGAAGAGTCAATTTCCAAATCAATCAAATATCAAATAAGATGCTCCGAACTCAGTGTCACGTCTTTTAGCTTTGGAGAATGAGATTGGATGCCTTTGAATGACTCCTAGGGCTTCTTTTATAGGTTTTCGCACCCTATAATCTTCCAAACACACTCTTCTTATGTCTCTACTCCCTCTAGTCCTATTTATATAGCAGAGTGAGAAGAATTGTTTGGTCCTATTTATAAGTCACGTTATTAAATTTTCATCATAATTTTTTAACCTCCATTGAATGTTGGAGGGAGAAAATATGTTATTGAATTATGTATATTTAATAAGGATAAAGTTAAGAACTTATTAAATTTTAAGACAGTGTTAATGAGTTTTAAGATTTTTCTTGATACTGGTGAAACATGTTGGAAGAAGTGACTTATAAATAGGACCAGAGGAGTATCTTTTAAAATCATCTAAAATATAAATTTACATACAAATCCACATAAGACACGTGTATCTGATAATTTTCACGGACGGGTGTCCACATACATATGTGATGAACGTCGAAGGCCCTCTTGTCCATTTCTTCATCCACCAACAAGTAAAAAATGAAGCATGTACATAAAATAATTTAATTTATAATATCAGACATGCACTCTCTCCTGGTGAGAGTCCTAGGCTTGCCCTTGTGAGGGTAAGATAGTGACTAGGATCGAGACTCTCTCACCAAGAAAGAATCCATGCCCTACAATATTTGGCCTATTTTTATTCTTTTTGGCATCTTTCTTTGAAATTTAATTTGCATAAAATAACCCATTTTATGCTATAATCAATAAATTTGAAAGCTAAAAACTTTGTATATAATTTAAGTATACTTTTAGCTTATCAAATATAAACTATTAAAATATGTTGAACCAAGTGTTTTGATGATAAAAACCAAGAGAAATGTATTCTTACTTTTGCAAAATGAATATCATGAATCATATAACAAAACATCAAGAAGGAAGAATGAGCATGAAGAAGTTATAAAAGGAATCATCATAAACATGTTGTGTAACACACCAAAATTTTTTTTTTAAATAATTTAACTCAACCATAGTTGGGTTACAGCCACCCAACACATTTTATATCAATAATTTCAATATAAAATATTTTATAATTGGCTCCAACTCACACACTATAACATTTCAGATAAATTTTTACCTCCCACATACCATTAGGTTAAATCACATTTGTCCATCCTTATACTCCCAACAAGTAAACTAAATCACATTTGTCCATCCTTATACTCCCAACAAGTAAAATAAGCAATTTAGTCAATTTTCAACACAAGTCAGTTATTTGGCCTTATAATCATGCCATTTTAACTAATCCAAAGTAAAACTAAATATTAAAATTACAGTCATCCAAATGTACCAAAAATAGAATAGTTTGAAAGGCATGATTACATTTATATATTCATATAATTGACAATAAATAAAAAGCCCTAATATTGCAATATAACACATTATAAATCATAAATTAAATACCCAAAAGAGACAGTGGATCTATACCACTAAGCCTCTGGGACTCCTCCACGTGACACTCATGGCTCTTCTCCTGAAAATTGTTAATCACATAATGAGACTCAAAAGTCTCAGTAACCAAAGCCAATTTATGATAGTGTATACAAACAGTTAAGTGTGTGCTTACTAAGTGAGAATTAAAAATAATATAATTCCAACAAATATAAGAAATAATACAATAAACACAAACAACCATCCTTATATCCCTCCATTAACCTCGAGCCATAGCCCTCACTCGGTGTTAAATTACCTGGCCAAAGGTAGATTAGCCCGAGCCCTTACAAGCCACCTATTGAGCTCCAATAGGGGCGTACCACGTGGCACATAAATACAACAACAATAGCAAGTCTCCCAACACCTCCCACAATAAGAAACAAATTCATAATAATATTACACAATTATACATATTACAAAATTCATAATTTTCTCAATAATCACCCAATTAACATGAAGTAAGTACTAATCACAAATTAAAAGCATGGTTACCTTGTGGCTTTTTCAATAAATTATTCCTTAAAATTCTCTCTCACCACAATCTTCACCAGTAATACAATCTACAAATAACATATTATTTATAAATATTAGTTTCAATTTTTGAAACTAATAAAATAATTCTAATAATAGAATTAAAAATATAAAATAATTCCTAATCTCAATCTTAATACAAATCTATAGTTAATACTATTAAATAAAATTTTTAACTCCTCTTTTAATTATCAATAACATTGATAATCTAAAAATAAACTTCTAAACTAATTTCTATTATCAAAATTTTCTTTTTATTTCATAAATTCCGTACCTAAAATACCCAAAAATTAAAAATTGAGTCTCTAGCTTAGAATCATAATTATAATCATAATTCTATTTCTAATCCCATTTCTCATCCCAAATAATCATTTAAACCTCAATAAATCAACATATATTTTCAGATCTAGTTTAGAATTTGATCCATAAGCCACAGATTCAAAGATCATCAATAAATTTATACTCTAGAACATTTATTATACTACTGACAACCTCAAAAATCATATTTATTCAACATAAATTCATCCCTCTTCCAGATCTTAAATTTTCTACCACTACAAACTCAGAAATCAAAGAAGAAGGATGACTAAGAAAAAAATTTTAGAACACTTACTTAGTTTTGAAAAGCTTAAAATCACACACTAAATATCCTATTAAAAACTCTTACCTTAAAACCCAGCACCGGTGAACTTGGCTCACAGATGCTCTCTCTGCCTCAGCTCACGCACGAAAGAAGGAATGAAGAAATGAAGGAACAGGTGAGTTTTATAAAAATTCAGTGGGTCCCACATCTTTTTTTTATTATTATTTCTTCTTTTCTCTCTCTCCCCTTTTTTTTTATTATTTTATATTACTATTGATGCGGCGGCCGAAAGCGTTCACATTTTCTTCCTTCTTTCCTTTCTCTTTCTCATACCTTTTCTCTTCTTTCTTTATAATAATATAAATAATTTAATATATTTTATTTATTTATTTTTTAATTAATTAATTTTTTTAATTTTATTTTTTTTATTTTAATTTAGAATTATATCCTAAATTAGATTTAATAATCATTTTTCTACTAATTTGCTTACCTCTAAATATTTTTTTAAATTTCTATTTATCAAAAATTAACTATTAAAATTTAAATTGGGATGTTACATGTTGCACTCAAAGACAAGCGATGAAGAAAAAAGAAGAATGAAGAATCATCATATGCATGCTAGAGATAAGCAATCAAGGGAAAAAATAAAGAAACTTTCATAAGTTATATTTATTTTACTCTTCTAGATAAACTTGTGAAAAACTAATTGAGAACATAAACATGAATTGAAGTAAGAATGCATCGTGTAGAAAGTCATGAGCTCATAAGTCCTTAAGGTTAAAAAGTATTATCCACACAAAGACAAGAAATGTCCGCACGTGTTTGACACAC